ATTTAGGATAGGATTGGCACCTACAATGGATCTAAAGTGAGCATATGGTGCGATGTGAATATACACGTTAAAGGCTGGCCTTGGCCCGGGCGAGTACTAACACTAGTGGTCAATACGATGAGTAGATACATAAATATGATCATGCAACGGTAAATCGATAACTCTAGTCAACATAACACTATTCATGCCCACCAATATAATTAAGGTATCCCATAATAGAATGCATACATGTGCATCTTGCAGGATTCAGAATAATTTCATAATTCTTAAAATTACGACCTTCCTTCTAAACATTAAACGAATTATGGAAATCACGTAGAAAAATTCTTTATTAATATGTAGTTGGAAACTAAACAAACATATATATACTATATAAAAGATGAGACCCACTCACAAGTACTTGCGAGGTCACAGCCGTTCAAACGAGTAAATACAAATCGCTGATGCTAATCGTACTTAAGCATAATAGAGACCTATTAGTAAAACTCAATTAAAGCGTTTGAATTTGGAGAAACGAATGGTGGATTCAGAATCAGCGCGTTGAAATACTTTAATAAGGGTTTCGGACAAATTTTGTAAAAAGTCAACGATCAACCCTAAAAAGTCAACCGAGATGCCGAGCCGATCAACTACGTGAAATCTTCGGAATTTCACTAAATGGATGTCAAAAACAGACTTGGGGCATCGAAATTACACTAAATGGATGCCGAGACTTACATTTATCAGTAAATTGTTCCCCCGGTAAAGTAACTTTCTAGTTTCGCCCCAGCTCACATCCTTAGTCTCTCCTCCAACCATCGATTCCGCTCGCACAATGAGACTGACGACGATGAAATCAGGAGGTCTGTGTTGTCAGTGTGAATATGTTGCCAACTTTTGCGCCGACGAGGATTACAAAGTGGGGTTTCTCAATGGTGAATGACCAGACGTCAGAGTGGTGCAAGAAGACAAGATTGATGAGGGCTAAGGCTTGGATCTTTAATATGATGGCAGAATCGCCGGGGTCACGGTGGTGGATATGAAGATCTTCGCCTACTTATGGAGAAGAAGGAAGACGAGGTGATCCAATGAGGAAAAAGATGTATGTTTGGTAACGGGTTTAAAGATAGAGTTGGGTGTTTGGGCAATGTGTTGGGATAAAATTTCAAATGACAAGGCGGTATAAGGCTATTGAGCCACATAGGACATGAGTAAATTTGGATACTTACAGTCAATACCTAAGTATTGTTCATATTAAACTATTTAGTTAGACTTAATATTTTCTTAAATATGGTATTTTTCTTAAAACCTATGCCCAACTAATATTTAATATAATTTACCTTATATTTTTTTGTCTGAATATATAGATTCTTTATAATTTTTATGCAACAATTTGAAGAAAGTTGAGGTTCTATTATAAAATTAATAGGCACTATATGGAGTAGCAGAACTTCTTATAAGCGCATACTATGTCCCTTATTTTCCTTGGTGTGGCACTCATAATCACAACAAGTCCCTTCATGTGTGGTAAATTTTCAAATCTAACACGTGGACAACTCAAATCGAGTGAAGTGGATCACATGTTGGTAAACACTTGAATAACTTGGGAGGAGTGCAATTCCCATTCCTCTTGTCCCAGTTCCCTTACGTAAACAAGCCATGATTGTGTTAGGAATGTGTCCAAAGAAATGTGATTGCGTTCGATTAGTCTGGTGGTCACACTTTTTTTTTTTAAGTTAAGATGAAAGATAAAAAAAAAAACATTGTGATATTAATTTCATTATGAAAATGATTGTGTAAATCCTATTGGAATTTTTTAGATAGTGTTCTATTTCAGATGTATTACTTGAAAGGCAAAAATTGTCCCCATAAACTTACTACTATAAATACAGATACAATGGGGTGAGATACACACCTCATAATTCGCCTATTCTCTCATCTCTCTTGCCACTACACTCTCCCACTCTCTCTCCCCTTATCATTCTTCAGGTAAATAGACCTACAACACGTTATCAACGTACGGTTGTTGAAGGAACTAGAGGTTCATGAAGGAAATTTTTCTACAAATAGCATTCAAAGGGTTTATTTCGTTTCCAGCAAATCAAACTCTTTTAAAACAAAAAATTGATATTTCATAAGCTCCTGTTAGCATGAAAACATTTACCATATGCATGAACCTCCAATCTTACTATTATATGTATTGTATATTGCATATATTTTTTAATATATATAAGCATGTTCATGCCCATGCAATCAATGTTTTCATATTCTGATTATGCAAATTATATTATATTATGTTATTTTGCCATATCGAATTATGTGAGTTAGAGAAAAACAAGAAAATAGTAGCACGAACTAGAATTTTGAAAACCTAAACCTGAAGCCAAGCTGCGCCACCTTAAGACGCGCTGTGCCTGCACTGAGCTGAGCCTGAAGCTCTAGCTCTGCCAACCAAAACGACACCGTTTGATGTCTTGGTTCAGCAGCCCATGTTTTGGGGATGCTTCGCACTGGCCAAGTCTGGACTTTATCCTGCCAAGCCCTCAGCTTGCTATACACTAGGCTTGCACTTCCTCGACCCACCCCAGCTTTGCAGGGCACTTGCTTTGCTGAGCTGACTATCTTGGCCTGCCCAGGGCCCAATTTTTTTTTCTGCAGCATGCAGCCCACCCAGCCCACCCCAGCAGCTTTGCTGAGCTGACTATCTTAGCCTGCCCAGGGCCCAATTTGTTTTTCTGCAGCATGCAGCTCACCCAGCTCACATTGCGTTACATGGACAACACTCAAATTGTCTAGGTTGCTCTGCTTTTTTTTTAACCGCACCCAACTAAGTTGGGGCGGCCACGGCTAAGCCCAAATTTTAGGCTCTATTTTCTCAATTACTTGGCCCGAAGCCATCCAAAACAAATATGACATGAATGTTAATATTTCTTGCTTCCACGATTGACCTATGTTTAGTCTCGACTATTGAATTATAGTGACCAATAGTCTATTAGTTCGACAAAAACCAAATTAATGGTCAGCATTCCACTTTTGTAAATTACTGATTCCATATTTTATTATTTCTATTTTAATAGTAGACATCTTTCATTATCCCGAAACTACTCACACTTGGGTTCCTGAAGCGGTTCTTAAGGTCGTCACAGTTCAGTGGTCGGCCCCGCTCTTGTTCTCCTGAAGATTCAGGATCGTCGAAGCTCAGGTGCTGAGGCTCCATGCGAGGCGCTCGTGCAATGTCCCAAGTATCAAAGTTGCGTTGGACTCAGACCCTACTTGCAAAGCCGTGAATAACCATTTGGATGTCGAATTGCTCCATGCTTGCATTAAGATTAGTGACTTATGCTGGGTCGAAATGGAGATCGATGCGATTGGCTGTCCTACTAGAGTTATGTTACTTAATTTCACATAAACGAAGACCGGAGTCTGGGTTTGCAGGGTAGACCCGCTGAAATTCTCCAAGGCCTTCAAATTTGCGATCCACTGGTGGGATGTCGGTTAAAGACTTTCCGACAGTCAAGTTAGTAAGTAATTCATGAGACTCAAGTTGTAGGCAAGAGAATAGAGTATGCAATTATTGTGTTACCCGAAATGAATCCTAATGGGTGTATTTATGCCAATCGAGAGAGAGTCTTTTAGAGTACATGATCTGTATATTACTGGGAAAATCCAAGAAGATATCTATGAGTAGATATTGCATCGCCTTAGAAGTATGATTACTTGCGGTGCACGCCAAATCCCTAGATTATAGGTATCTCCAAGAATATAGGAAACCTGACTTATTCCATATCGAATTAGGTTTCATTATCGTGTAGAACAAGAATGTCAATCTTAGTGAAGTCGACGGACTTTGCCCACTTATTCGAATGATGGTGGAATGTATGGTCCGTCTGTACATCTCTGTGATAGAAGTTGTTGAGTCCATGACTGGACTACTGAGGCATCTGTACTCCGATCCATCTTACTCCGACCATGGAGAATCATGGTCCAACAAATAATAATTGTAAAAAAAGTTATATAACGAGGTTATGGTCGAACTTTTTGATGGTGAGGGTGGCCCTTTTTCAAGGTGGAAATCTCTTCTAATTAATTGGATCGCTGCCGTCTCCTTCTATGTTGAGTCCAAAGCCCATGATCCTTATTTGGCTCATTGGTTACCTTAAACAATCTCTTTCTTACCTTGTTGCCGGGGACTATTTGGTGGCCCTTGTTCAAGACAGAAATCTTTGGCAATTATCTTCCAAAGAAATTTATTAAAAGGTTGAGCCAAATGGGTTCTTAAATATGTGAAATATCTTAATCATTAAATTTGTTCGAGTTACACTACGGATGTAACATTATATTTTATTAAGGTATCATAGCCTAACTTTTTTTTTTTTTTTTTTTTGACAAGAATCGATTAGATTGCTTTATTTTATTTTTATGAACGAAACAAAATACAGATGATTGGCTTCGCCTATTATCCAATTTATATGCAAACCATAAAAATAGGAAGCTCATTATTTATTTTCCAGCAGCGCCCACATGTTTCACATATACTAATAGAATACATTGGCTGGAACGGATATTTATTGTTCAGCATCCCACATGAGGCATCTTATCTTCTTGCTTCTTAGGTTTCCAAATTTTCATGGAAGAGTAGAATTTTATTGCCAAACAAAGACATATATTACATGGGAGGCATTTTGAGTTGGGCAAAATAGACATCATCATACTCAACTGCTACACGAGCACAACTTGTGCCTTGTCCTCTACTAAGATATAATATTTGACAGGTAATAATTTCATTTTATGTGTTTAATTATAGTCAACTAAAGTTGGCCTGTAAGCAAACATCGCTTTGAGGAACTTGCGGGGTCACTATCATCCCTCGAATAAAATATTTTGACCATTTCATCAACTCCGTTTCATAGTTTTATTCACAGTCTGCAAGTTGCAGTATCTGTTGGTCTTGGCTCTTCAAATTTATTAGATATTTGAATCTTATCTAATTATGGCATCAAATTCCCAAAAAAAGAAGGAAATTAAAAAAAGAGAGTAATCAACACTACCAATTTGTATACAACGAAAAAGCGCAATTCAAAAATTGCGGTCAAGAAGTATATATATACCAACAAAATTCATAAGAAAGCAACAAATATAAAAATAAATTTGCAGAAAATAAAAACGTGTACAAGGAAGTAATCTTGGTTTGTTTTCACTTGCATTTTAAACTTTGGAGCGTTTTTGATGACAGATCAAATGCAATGGTGCAGTCCATGGTGGAAGACTTCTTCTTCTTCATGATAAACATCGATTCAACCTTTCCAGTCAACGTAGCCTCGCTGTTGAGTGTCAATACCCCGCTGCTTAATTCACTGCTAAGACTGGAATTGCTCAATGCACTTGAACTCAAGCTCACCTCGACGTCAATGTTTTTGGTGGAAAGCATTCCAGCCTTACCCTTGGGAATAGAAACTTGCCCAACAGTCGAGCCTTGGTACAAAAACATGATAATTGCAGCATCATACTTGTATGGACCAAAATTTGTGTTCTTGACTTTGATTTGAGTTGTGAATTTAGTGTCGAATGAAGGTGTCGCTGGGACAAAGTTGAGGTTTTGGACGTTGATGTTGCCTAGCCTGACCTTTGGGGTCTTAACTTTCATAATAGTGAGACTCAACGCGGTTATGACCATGATCTGAAACACAATGAAAATACCAATATAAATGGCCAACTTGATTCTCTTCTTGCGTTTCAGTTCATCAGCTGATTGCAAAGACTCTGCATCACTTCTTGTGTAACCATTTGCTGGTGCCAAGGGATAGCCCTGGTTGGTTTTCTCAGCCATATTAGTATCCTTTTCTTTTGTGATATGAAAATGGGAAGAAAGTTTTTGTGGTTTTTTTTTTCTTTTTGGTGGGTTTGTTTCCTTGGATCAAACTTAAAACAGGAGGAAGTTGTTTGTGGAAATGGAGGAAGAGATGTGTATTATATATAGGTTTTGGAGTTTAGACTATTTTTATTAAATTATGTGGTGGAGTGCTTTCCCAGAACAAGTAGGTTCGGGGAAGGAATTGTACATTATTTTAATATTTTATTGCGGACACCAAACGCGTCCAAAGACAAAGTTCTTGACTTCTAGATGATCGATGACTTTGGTGAGGACCTTTTAGGGTTTTGCTATCAGATGGAACAAATTAAATATCAAGAGGAACCGTCATTTTGCTTAAAAAATATCAACCGAAGCTTCGATTTTTCCGTTGGCATTAAGACTAAATCCCCCAATCACGGGTGAGAACATGGTTTGTGATATATACTATTTGGGGCTTCTTTTTTAAATTTAATTGACCATCCCCAATACAAGCAAGAAATATTCTGTACTTGAAGAGTGAACGTTGTTGAAGACTTGACTAATCAAACATGGCCGAGGGTTTAGGGAGCTTATGTAATAATCAATCGAGTAAATATGTTTATCAAGATATTGAGAATAAAATGGGTATGGTGCAAATGTAAAATTGGGGATATTGAGAATAATATGTTTCTCAACATGCCTTTCCACGTATGACGAATTTTTTAGCCTAATACTTAGACAACACAAATGGGATAACGTGTTGCTGTTAGTAGACCTGACAATTTTTTACACGATCCATTAATACGACACGAAAACGACACAAATTAACTAGTTTCGGGTCAACATGATAACTAATCGAGTTTTTATTAAGTCATCCATTTATGAATTCTTAACGGGTTTACATGCAGGTAATCCGTTAAGAAAAAAGTTTGTTTGATAACTTTAAACTATTAAAAAAACCTTACTAGTTACTACAATAGCTATAGTACTTATTCTCATATAAGTGAGATTTAAAATTCCGATGCACATTAAAATTATAAAGCAATTTAAAAATACGTTGATTAAAAAATTCATAATAATTTATTTACAAGTGAAAAATTATGCAAACACTTGTGCTTGCATCCTCTATACTTTGATGATGGGTACAACGTCGATTTTTAAAACCCAACAAAACCCTCTCGAATAGCATTTTAGGGGGAGTTCAAATAAACTAAAATTCATAATAACTAAAGTACAAGTTGAAAAATGTGAAATATATATATATATATATATATATATATATAAACGCTTGTGATTACATCCTCTACACTTATACAATGGTTACATCGTTGTTTAGATTTTTAAAAGCCTCCAAACTCTCATGGATATTTTTTTTTTTTTTGAAGTGCAAAATTAAGAATAATCAATGTAGACACATGAAAAATATTAAAAAAAATGTATAATCAGTTGTGATGACAAGCTTTACTACTTTCGTGAATGGCTTAACTCCGAATTTTCGACACCATAATCCATAAACCCTTGATTTATATTAAACCGTCGATTTTCTTTTACGCTCTATTCTTCTAATCGGATTCCGTTTTTCAAATCTTCTTTTTTGAAAACATTATCTTTTGGCAGATGGAGAAAAATAAACTGTTCAGATTGTTGATATCATGTTCTGATGTTTATGGTTAACTGAAATACGGGTCGATGTTGTATACTTTCTAGAGACTTTATAAACTCCAAGCAATATTTTCGTTAACCATAATAATTTGAACGTGATATTAATGATCCGAACTGTTTATCTTTCTGCATCTGCTAAAAGATCATGTTTTCAAAACTAGAAAATCTTAAAAAAAAAAAAAAAAAAAAAAAAAAAAAAAAAAGAGAAATTCGGTAAGAAGAATGGAGTGTAAAGATAAACGACAATCATGTTTTTCATTTTATTATTTATTGATTAAAAATATATTTTCTTTACTGGTCACTAGTTGGGTCATATTACCCGTTAACATTAAAGGCTTGATTTCGACTCATTTTAACTAGTGTTACACAATATAACCCGTTAAGATATTGAGTATATTACTAAAATGACATGAACATAGAAAACACAACACAAATGTCAGGTCTAGCTGTTGGGCTTCACACGTGATACAATCTACAATGATACTAAGAAAAAAGTTGGAGTTGCACCATAAAACAATTGGCAATATGAGGAGCAATTTAATTTATTTATAAGCTCATGCAAAGTTTGTACTTGCAGAAATATGGAATTCATTTTCAACAAGTTTTCCTCTAAGTGAATGATCAAAATGATGAGTTCAGTCAATCTTATAAACCATTTGTGATAAAAACATTTTTGGCATTATTGACACCTGAATTAATCACTTTCATTTTTTTTCTTTGACATGCCATCACTTTCATCATAGGAGAAAAAGAAAACTAGAGGGTCATGATTATTAACTTCTAGCCCTTTAATATTAACTTATATCATATTATTAACTTAATTTCTACCCCTTAAGCTTTGGCCACTTTAGTTTCACTTTTGAAGCAACTCCATAAAAAGTCATATTCAAAGCTGAATAATCAACTCCAGTTCGTACCACCAACTACAAGAATAACAAAGTCCAGGTCCATTATGGTTTCCCAATGTCAAATTCTAATAAAGGTCAAGCATTCCCACTAAACTGTAGCTATGTTATTTAACTTTCTTTTATTTATTTTGCGAGGTTTGAATTTAGGAATTCCTTAAATAATGTGGACACAATTAAAAAAAATTGCAAGGTAATGCGGACACAATTAAAAAATTGCAAACAAGAAGTAATGACGGAATTTGTGAATATTAAGTAAGTAAAAACTAAATCAAGTCTCGAAACATAAAAATAAAGTTGGCTCACGATATAGTGCCCATATTCTCTCAGTTACAATCCAAATTTTGGACAGACTTGGCTGCCAAATTAAACACCATAGAGCAGCCCATTTCAGCAGATTTGTTTTTCTTCATGATCATCATCAACGTAACCTTTCCACTCAACTTGGCTTGACTGCTCAACATCAGCAGCCCATTGCTCAGCTCACTTCCAAGAGCGGAGTTGCTCGGCAGTGCTGCAGAATTCACACTCACCACAACATCAATTTTTTTCGTGGACCGCATTCCGACTTTGCTATTCGGAATAACAACTTGCCCAACGGGCACACCTTGGTACATAAACGTGGCCGTGCCGGCATTAAACTTATAGGTACCCCAGTTTAAGTTCCTGACTCTGATTTGGGTTACGAAGCTCATGTCGAAAGAAGGTGCTGCCGGAACGGAATTGAGACTTTGGACATATATGTTGCCTAACCTGATTTTTGGGGACTTAACTTTCATCACAGTCATACCAAAAACGCTCATGACTACGATTTGAAAGACGATGAAAATGCCAATGTATTTGTACATCTTAATTCTCTTCTGGCGTTTGAGCTCCTCGGATTGCGTCGTGGCTGAAGCTTCATGATCATCTCCGGAGTGCCCAGTTGCTGGTTCCAATTGGTGGTACTTCTCAGCTACTACTTTCTCAGCCATTTTAATTTCTTTACTTAGAAAAATAGAAAATCAACAATATTTCTCCCTTTTCTTGGAAAGTTGTATTTTACTTCTAGAGATGGGTTGGAAAATAGAGAGTTGTGTTTGTGGTAACGGTAGTGAAATGTTATGCATATTTATAAAGTATTATGGGTGTGAGTTTGCTTCCTGCATCTTACACATGTAAGGGGATATATTACTTTCTAAATTTTATTTCATACACGCCAAACGCGCCTGGTGTACACTTACGACTTCTAGATGGTGGCGTGAACATTGCAATTGAAATATAAGGTTGAGAATCCTTATTATATCCATAGAAGCTTCGATGGGGTCAGTCGTCCAGTTTGGACTTCCATCCTAAGGTTCATGCACAAGAAATTGGGCACCAAACTACTCATGGTGCTGTATTAAGGTAATTTTGCTAGAATTTTAGAGACGGTCCAAAGACCCATTAATAATGTACTTATATTGTAAGTAACTTAATTACATACAATCCAATAAGTGTATGTTGTTGCTACAAAAAGGCATTCGTATAATTCGTATAAATTGTCATTTAGTAGTCCATTGAATGACAATTTATGTCTTCACTAATGCATCCCACAACCCAATACGACTAGTGTACTTATTGGACAATTGTAAATGAACTGATCCAAAACGTTATGTGTGGGAAGAAAGGTTGATGAAAGGCAGAATGCAGAACTTATTAGGCCATTTTCTGTGGATGAAATTAGAGATGCTGTGCACCAGATTCTATCTACTAAATCTCCGGGTCCTGACGGTTTTAAGGCTGGGTTCTTTCAGGATCATTGGGAGGTGGTGGGGGAGGATATTATCCGGATGGTGCAGGCTTTTCACCACTCAGGGAGGTTGTTACAGAAGGTTAATCATACCCATATTGTTTTAATTCCGAAGGTGAAGGCTCCGTGAAGGATGACATAACTTAGGCCGATCTCGTTATGTAATGTTGTGTATAAGATAATTGCTAAAGTTCTGACAAAAAGATTGAAGAATGTGATGGACCGGGTTATTAGTGGCAATCAATCGGCATTTGTACTGGGGAGGCAAATTCATGATAACATTTTGGTTGTTCATGAAATATTGCATTCTTTAAAGCAGGGTGTGGAGGGCGAGGAGGGTCGAATGGCGGTCAAATTAGATATGGCAAAAGCGTATGATCGAGTGGAATGGAGTTTCATGATTGAGGTGATGAGAAACTTGGGTTTTCATCCACTATTTTGTACATGGATACGTGAATGCATCTCTACGGTGTCATATAGTGTGATGGTGAATGGTGTTCCGTCGGGGTACTTCCTTTCCTGATTGAGGTTACGAGAAACTTGGGTTTTCATCCACTATTTTGTACATGGATACGTGAATGCATCTCTACGGTGTCATATAGTGTGATGGTGAATGGTGTTCTGTCAGGGTACTTCCGACCGGGGAGGGGGGGCAAGGTGACTTGTTATCACCTTTCCTTTTTCTCGTATGTGCAGAAGCTCTATCAACTTATATTTGGAAAAATGAAATGGAAGGGTAGATTAGTGGGGTGTGGGTGGCGCTTGGAGCAAATGCCATCTCTCATTTGTTTTTCGCGGATGATTCGGTGGTGTTTTGCAAAGCGGATGACACGGAGGCAGTGAACGTAATAAGGATATTGGAGAAGTATGGTCAGGAATCCGGTCAAATCATTAACTTGGAGAAAAGTTCTATTTTCTTTGGGAAGGGTTGTTTGAAGAAAGAATTAAAAGTGTATTTTGTCGAGAATGAATATCCAAGCAAGAGACGGCTTTGGCAAATATTTGGGGATCCAAGCAGATTTTGGACATTCGAAGAAGGCGGTTTTTGAATCTGTACAACATGGCATTGAAAGTCGCATAGATAGGTGGGCGGAGCAATTTTTGTCGCCGGCGGGGAAGGAAATGTTGATTAAATTGGTGGCAATGGCAATGCCGAATCATGCGATGTCATGTTTTAAATTGCCAGTGACCACATGTAAGGAGATGGAGCAAGTTATTGCTCAGTTTTGGTGGAGAAGTCAAGCGAAAACCAGGGGATATCATTGGGTGGCATGGGATAAGATGACCGAGAGTAAGAAGGTTGAAGGTTTGGCCTTTCGAGACCTTATTGGGTTTAATTTGGCTATGCTTGCTAAAATTAGTTGGAGGGTGTTGTGGAAGCCGGATTCGATGCTTAGTATGGTGTTTCAGGACAAATATTTTCCTAATTCATATTTTCTAGAGGCAGGTCAGTAGAAGAAATTATCGTGGGGGTGGAAAGGTATCCTTTTTGGGAGACAAATTTTGCACCGTAGGGTTAGATGGAGGGTAGGGAATGGAGAGGAGGTTCAAGTGGACGAGCCATGGGTGCCTAAGCCTCGTTTGTTTAAACCAGTGTTAAGGAATATGGATCCTAATATAAGGGTGTGTGAGTTGATCATGGCAAATAGGCAGGGGTGGAATTTGAAAGCTCTTGTGATGGGAGTGGCACCAGAAGATGTTGAGTTGATTCAATCTATACGGGTTAGTCGACATGGGTGTGAGGATAAAAGAATTTGGTATTATACGAAGAGCGGGGTGTATACGGAATGGTAGGGTTATCATGTTGCGATGGAAACGTTGAAAAATGGTGAGTTTGGAAAGAAAAGAAGTGGGATGGCGAGTTTTTTGGGTTTATTGTGAAGGACGTGGAAGAAAATTTGGACCCTTGCTATTCCGCATAAACTCTGGTTCTTTATGTGGAAGGCTAATAAGAAGGCTTTGGTGGTTAGACATAATTTGGAACATAGGAAGATTCGAATAGTGAATAGATGTGAACTGTGTGGAGCAAGTAATGAAACTGAGGCTCATATTTTCTTCAATTGTGAGTTTAGTCGTATCTTTTGGTTTGGGACGTCATTGCAAATAAATATGGTAGCTATGGGGGTGAATGATTTTCTGGAGGGAAGATAGCAGATTGTAAAGTGTTTGGAGAAGGAAGTGGATGCTGATTTGATCGTGCAACAGGTGGCCTTTGGCTTTTGGTTAATTTGGAAGTCTAGGAATGAAATGGTTTTTAAGGGGTTGCGGACGTTACCACAGGTTGCGGTGGATTTATGGCACTGGCATGTGGAGGACTATAGGAATGCTATAGATGTTACGGTGGGGGAGGGTGGGGCAGATAGGAGAGGTAGGAGGGATGGGGTTAGGTTGGGCTTTGGGGAAGAAATCGGGAAGGGTACGGGTGAGGGGTGGAGTATGAGGAAGGGGTGAGAGGTGGGGGAAAGAGTAGTTAAGTGGCAGAAGTTTGATTATGGGGAGTCAAAATTGAACTGTGATGCAGCATGGAAGGACACGGGGAAGGGAGGGGTAGGGTGGGTACTTAGGGACTTTGCGGGTATCCCAAAGCTCGCAGGAGGGGTAGGAGGTGGACAGTTTGGGGACGCCACCATGGCAGAGGCGGAGGCGATTAGACAGGGCCTGGAGACGATGGTGGAGAGGGAGGATGGGGAGGTTAGTACTAGACTGGTGGTGGAATTGGATTCTAAAGGCTTGATCAAGATGCTAAAGTAGAAGACCCTGGTTGATGTGAATCTTGAGATTTATATACAAGACATTTGGAAAATGACTAGCTTATTTCAATTGGTAAGGTTTTGCTTTACCCCTTGTCAATGCAATCGTGCAGCCCATTCGATAGCAGCGTACGTCGTCAAGCATGGCAAGAGATTTGGCTGGGATGAATTAGGTCCTGAGTTTCTCTTTAATATTTTAGCAGAAGATGCAAATGTAACTGTTTGTATTTAATTTCTAATAATGTGTCACTACTAGGCAATAAGCACCTTAATCAACATTTAAGTAATAATTCAATCGTTAACAACCACATCATTTGGTTTACAAAATTTGATTTAAAAATCTAATCTCCCTAGTATTAGCCAAATGTTACAAATAGTCAAAGTTTAAAATTTAGACCTTTTATTTATTTATTTTTTTCATGTTGTGACACTACACTTTCTATGCGACTCTCGTAGTGAAAAAGTTGTTAACTAAATTTTTGTAGCATGCATCGTCAAAGTTCTAAAAGATGGTAGGCGCTAGTTGGGCGGCAGGTCAGGACCTAGTGCCTAGGCAGATTTAAGTATATAAAATGTCTTACAGTTTATTGAAAAAACAAAAAAACCAAAATGAAAGTTATCTATTTTTGTCTAAGTGAGAGTTGCAACTTAGGCGAGTGTGGAAACGGGTTTGAATGGGCTAAGCGAGTACCGAAGCAGGTCTATGAATCCTTTCTTAATTTTCAAATATCTGGCAGCTGCCTAGTGTCTAGGTGGCTAGGCGGCACTAAGGTGGGGATTTTTAGAATAATGTGTGTTGTTAGCAATTGAGATCCAACCTAAATTTTCGTTAGTCTTTCGTTAAACAAAGTACATAAACCTCACGTGTGGGGTTAAATTCGTCCTTTTAATTAAACTAAGAAGGCCATAACATTTGATTTAGTGATGCTTGCTTCTTTGTTGCCTACAAAATTACCTAAAGGCTAGGTCCTCTCTTCCAAGCTAGTTGAAGATTTGAATGTAAAAACAATTTGTTTGGAGGAGAAGACCATTGTCCCGAAGTTGTTGCCTCACAAATTGGTAATTGGCCTCATTACGAGGGTTTAACTAATAAAATTTTCATGATGTGGGTCATATTAGAAGTACGACGTCACCACAGACCACGAAAAAAAATTAGCCTAAAGTTTAATACTTAAACATATTAAGTGATTTGATTACCTATTGATGATTCGAATTCAACATTAAGATGTGACATCCCACATCGCCTAGGGGAGTGATCCTTAAATGTATATTCTCATCCTTACCTAGCACGAGGCCTTTTGGGAGCTCACTGGCTTCGGGTTCCGTAAGAACTCCGAATTTAAGCAAGAAGGGGGCTAGAGCAATCCCATGATGGGTGACCCACTGGGAAGTTGCTCGTGAGTTCCTAAAAACAAAACCGTGAGGGAATGGTAAGCCCAAAGCGGACAATATCGTGCTACGGTGGTGAAGTGAGCCCGGGAAGTGATCCGCCCCTGGCCGGGATGTGACAATTTGGTATCAAAGCCTAACCCTGGCCGTGGTGTGCCGACGAGGGCGTCGGGCCCCTAAGGGGGGTG